CTCGACTTTGAACAATGGAACCCTGCCGCTGACAAACCAGCCAGACTTTTCCAAACTCATGGTACTTCGCCCACATCATTACCATATAAAGAGGGGGAAATCCCAGCTCCGCCATCTCCTACCGTCCATTTGCTTTCACAAGTTGCCAAACTCTGATCAACTAATAAAACTGGATAGTCACATTAGTATGATCAATGAAATCTTACCAGCCTCCCCCCCTCCTTCGAAATCGTACATACTCACTGCACGCCGATGATTGTGCATTATGGCATTCCAGCAGTAATGCAGAATTCTCGGTAAATCGCATCCAATTGGCACTGGATATGATTTAAAATGGGGCTCCAGTGGGGTTTTAAGTTTTCCACAAGAAAAAGTAATGGGATATTTATTTACAATGGAGGAAGCCGAACATCAGGCTAACTCTAGACAATCACCCAATAGCTGTTCAAAATTCTTTGATCGCAGACTTAATTGGAAAGACGACAATGGCCAATTAAGAATGTCAAAAAGCACTAAATTTATTAAAGTGCATTTCTGGTAATAAATGGGGAGCTGATAGACAGCCTTTGCTATGATATATACAGCCCTGATTAGTTCTTAAATAGATTATGGGTCAATAGTGTATGGTTTGGCATCGAACTCAATTTGAAAGATTGAATGTTGTACCGAGAGCTTATTTGCGTGTGTTGGAGCCCCGAGGTGTATTCGGATCGGTGTCTCTCGAGGAGGCTGGAGTACCTCCCCTCCGACTATACCCCAAAGGTGGCTCGAGACCCGAGCCATGCTAATAGCAACTGATGCATTAAACCCTTTGCCATGAGACTCTAAGACATCGTCAAGATGAATGTGTAAAAGCGGGTGTATGGTCGACTGATGGGAAGTTTAGATTGCCGAATCATACTTCGATCTTCCTAGTCGAAGTTTTTTGCCATTAATAAGTTTTAATTTTACACTGTCACGACCCACACAAAAGAACTTTTTTTTTAGATTCGTTAATTCACATAAAACCACAACACAATTACCTGTTGGGTAAATTAATCAAGCTAATAGGAGACCGGGCCCTCTGACAAATTAGCCGGGTTGACTGGTTTATCTGAACCTTAGCATAGTCTGTACAGATCCCAATGCTTCAAAGTCCCTTATAAAAGAAAAAATCCAAGTTTGCAAAGTGAGTGGACCACCTAAAAACATCGACAGACAACAGAACCTTGGATGCATCCACCTTGAAAATGGAAGGGAGGAGGTGGTGGTTTAACCCAGCTCAGAGTCGTGCCGACAAGACCATCACTCCCTATAATGAAAGAAATTTCCTCCGCCATGTCAACTTACTGGACAACACCTCACAATTGCAACACATACTAATATCTTGTCACAATTCAATGCCATAGAACACAGGCTAAACAAAAAAATCAGAATCATAGATTTTTACATTATTCTATTAATAATGGATAAAAACGTTTTACCTGTAAAAGTATCACTTTTCTAAGGGAGACAAAACTTTCTGACCTCATCTATATTGAAACAAGGAATAGGTTCCTTGGCCTTTAATATCCTTGGCCACATGCGCTGGTGATAGCCAGGAAATCCAACAGAAGCAAAAAACAATTCGTATTGGTTTAAAGTTAACAATACTCCTTTCCATATGGCAAGTGGTTAAGGGACCGAGCCCCTGCGTCCCCCGAAATGTCTGACTACACCACAGGCCCCACTCTGGTTACTTAACAATGCGGAAGGTCCTCCATCTTACTGGAGTTATAAATCCTCCTCCTCAGCCTGAAACTTTACGAATGCGTTGCATGACGGGATATCTGCAGCAGTTCATAAACTGCTCAGTAATCGGCCTGTATAACCGTTACATAAGCACGATTTATGTATGACATTAACATAGCCGCGGGCTGTTTGTTCACGCGGCTCAAAGTCCAGTGGCAAGACCACGCTCAGCGAGGTTAGATGACGAGTTTATCTGACTTCGGTCTAACCTATCAATTAGTGACCAGCACGTCGCCGGTCTCAGGTCACATCACCACCTTTGAATCTTACAGACAAGTGGATTGGTTCGAGTGCATAGACTTTTATGAGAGATAATGAGTTACAGGGGACTCAGTAGAAATTAGTGAAGAGGAAGAAGGGAGCGTGTATTATATGTTTTAAAGTAAAAAGAGTTCAGTACAAGCTTACAGTTCATTAGTAAGGACACTGGATTCAGGGTGAGGGTATTTGAAAGTACGAGTTGAGAAAGGTTGCTGCGACCAGCGCCGGAGGGTGAATTTGGATCCATCAATGGAACATGACTCTGGAGGCGTGGAGTGGAAACATGGTCCAAGGAAAGGGGTGGAGAAGGAAAAGGGGGGGATATCTGATATTGGTGGATCAGGAAAGCAGAGGAGAAAAACAGTGGTAAGGTATCAGCCATGGAGGAACGGAAATGGCAGAAAACAGAATATTCGAGTTGGGGAGGAGGAATTGGAATAGGAGAGTGTCTATGTAAATGGAGAAATGAAACAGGTAAGCGTGAAGAAGCGAAGGTGATCCATGAGATTGGGGGTTTGTGAAGGAAAGTTGATGGAAGCGGCGAGCCTCGGAAGAGAGGAAGGGTTGACGTCGAGAGAGAGATGGCATGACTGCATCATTATACAGGCTCCTCAAGGAGACAGCGAGATGTCTAGGCTAAAGTGAAGACCGTTATGATGGATTGGTACAAGCTGAGACAGAAGGTAGGTAAGAAGTAGAGTAGGTATGGTATCCATAATTTCCCCCAAGAGTGGAAGGATCAAGGTACCTGAAGAGGAAGAGATTTTTGTAACCTGAGTCCTAGGATACATGAGAGAGAGTCTGGTGAGATTGTGAGGCGGCGGCGAGCGTTTTTCTTTAATTGAGTAAAAAATCGCCAAGGAATTTGCCCGAGTAACGGTATTGGAATGGAGTGTCATAATAGAAGAGTGGAGGTTGGGACCTACACGTGCCGAGAGAAAAGGTGGGAAAAGGTAGAAAACGAAAGCCATGGTTAATAGCCATGAAGATACTGATGATATGACAGACTGAAGGAGTTGGTGGGAGGTTGGTATGGATGTGCCAGGAAGGCATAGATGGTTAAATCTCAACATACAGTGTGACCGGGCTCGCTGGTGGTAGAACTGAACAATGCCATTAACAGCAAGTAGAATGAGATGGCGCTGAGTACACTATCTTGCAGGGCGCCCTCAAACTAGGAAGGATGATGATTTGAAGATGCAATTTGGGACCTGGAAAGTGCAGTTGTGTGAGGAAGGACAACCCATGTTTGTCCGCGTATGCGGAGGGATACAATTGTTTTCAGAATAGTGGTATCAAATGCTTTTTTCCTAGGTCAAAGAATATGGCTATATGAGTCATGATGTACCATATGTCTCGAAAGGGAGCAACTGGGTCCAGCTGTACTTTCGGCACGGCGGAAATCAGACTAGGAAGGAGAGAGAATATTGTGGATTTAAGATACCATATTAAGTCGAAGTTACCTTCATTCCAAGCAGTTTTGCACAACAGCATTGGGTGGGCCAATCTGTGGGAGGGTACTCGATTTATTGGGTTTCAAGAATGGAATTATCAGCTTCTCGTCCATGATGAGGACAATTTCTTTGTCATCCATATTTGGGATGAAAATAATAGGAAGGGTAAGAGGAATATGGAAAGGTTGGCACTACTGTAAGGCAGTGTGTTGAGTTTTTAGAGATATAAAAAGGCCTCAGCATAGACAAAGGTGAAGATGAAGGCTGGGGTTCTCTGAATGGTCTTAATATAGTCGAAATGTTGGAACGTTGAAGCCACTACTTAGCTAAAATATTCATCCAATTCATTAAGCGACGTGGGGAGGATCAAAGATGAAATTATCTCCAATATGGAGCGGGTGCAGGATGGATGTTTTTCCCGATCGTTTTTCGGACAGACGCTGGAATAGTGGTATATGTGATTGAGGCAGACATAATTTCGCCTGTTGTGTTTTAAACTTGTACCGGACTTGACGGCGAAGACAGGGCAGATGCTCTAGATTGAGAAATAAAAATGATAGCTGATTAGGGGTGTCCCCTCGTTTTGTAGCATAACTGTTCCACCAGGTAACACATTTGGAAGTATAAGGTCTTGAGGTTCGAGGAATGGCTGTAGTGGCAGTTCTTAGACTGAGCCGTGGAAACATTGCAAGCATTTTGAAATTGGACGACAAGGGGGATGGAGGGGTAGGAATATATGAGAGTGAAGTGAAAGTATACCAGTCAGTTCTTCAAAGCACCAGTTGTGGGGAATAGGAAGTGGTGCTATGAAGTAGGTAGGAAGGAGGACTGGAAAGTGGTCACTTAGGGAAGTGGTCTAGAACTTAGACAAATGGAAGTTAAAATAGATAGAAGGGGAGTATAGAGAGGTGTCAAGGCAATGAAAACGATTGCGGGCGCATGTCGATGTATAGGGGGCGATTCTGAATTACGGTCCTGTGGCGAGGAAGCTTCTAGGGATCAACCATAGGGGTAGTGAATGAAAATCACAAAAGGGAGACAAAAAGAACCCCATAGAGTTGGCGGGAGTTAAAATCATCACTATGGGAAAGATTGGTTTGGAGTTTTTTTTTTGGCAGTGGCGGAGCGAGAAATTTCAATGGGGGGGGTTAAAGTGTCTTCCAAAAAAAATTAGACAGGCTCCGGAGGCGCGTGGAGACGCGCTTAAGTGCGTCTGGGGGAGGGTGAATAGTATGATGTATCCCCCTCCCTATAATGGGGTCCGGGGTCCCCCGGGAAAATTTTGATAAAATACATGTTCTTTTTGGCAGTTTTAAGCATTCTCAGAATAATCTCAGCGAATTTCCTATATTCACAATGTTAATAATTCCGGTTGTATTAAAGACAAAACATATAGGCTCATATCAAAGAATGTTTGATATATCTACATCTCAGTGTTTTTTATGGAAAAAGTCTCAAAAGTAAATAGTATATCCGAAAAGATTTCTTCTATAATATTATTCCAAGCGGAAATTC